AGGCTCAAGGTAGGCTGCCCCGCCCCGCCAGGCATCCAGGGGCGCCTTGGGCGCTCCGGCCCCTGGACTCCGGAAGGGCGCCGGTGCGGCGGGGGCTGCGGCTCCTTGCCGGGGACGCCGCCGTTGAGGACGTAGCCGCGCGCTCCGAGGGCACGTCGAGGGGCTGGGTCTGCGGGTATCTCGGTCTGCATATTAGCTCGGGGCGCAGTGTTGGTGGGTGGAGGGGATTCTGTCGTCCCGGGTGTGTGCTGGACCTAGACCTCTGCGTTCTGGTCTTGTTTAGGGTGAGTAGAGCGCAGGATTATAGGGTGGAAGCCTGATTATGCCGCTTCTTTATCTGTGAGGTTTTGTTAAACTACTGTTAATATCCGGGCGCCTCGGTTTGCGCATCTGTAGCATGGGGATAGTAGTACCTCCCTTATAGAACTGGCGAGAGCTAGGAACAAGGCACATAAAACGCTCAGCGCAAAACCAGGCACAGTAATATTATCGCTACAATTACAATTATTTTGTCGATTTTATTTTTTCCTTTTCGCTAGTGAGGGTGAATGGACCCAGGGTCTGGCTTTGGGAGTGTCTCAGGCTGAGAGTGAGCTTCAAAACTGGGTATCAAGCATGCAACATCGGGAATTAAGGTTCAGAGATCCGGGATTAGAGATGGGGTGCCCCGAAAACGAGAATGAGACAGGCTTGGGTCATCGATCCCAGGCTGAGGAAATGTCAGTGTCCTGGGTGACACTGTGTCGGGGCCTAGATTTGGAGAGAGTGGGGTCACTCCCATCGTGACCTTGGAAAGATCGCCTATGAGGATGGGACAGGGCGTCCTGGGGCGCAGGTAGATGTTGAGAAGTGGGAGCCCTTCTCATGGGGCTCCTCTGCCCCGCACAATCCACATCCTGACGTCCGGGGTAGCCCCTGCTTCCCTGCGCCTCCTTCTGCCTACCAGGGCCAGACGGCCCTCCCCGGGGCTCGGGCGAAATACACATTCCATAATCTGATTTGACTGCCCACCCGCCAGCCCCTTGTGATCTGGGGTGGGGGCTCCTGGCTCCCTGGCCTGCCGCGTCTGGGGTCACAGGGCCGGTGACCCTCTCAGGAACGGTCATCTGGGGACTAGCTAGACTAGGGACACGGGGTGGGGGCTGGGGGGGAGGGCGGAGCTATTTGAAAATTGCTGGAGAGCTCGGCCGTCCGCCAAAAACCAGAAGGTTGGGGGTGGGGGCTAGCTGGCTGAGCAAAGAGGGGGAGGCGCATTTTTTCCGGTTCACTCCCTCCTTCTGGAGGAACTCTGTGGCGATTCAACAGTCTCTGGGAGTCTGGAAAACTGAATTCTGGTTCCTCAAACCCTACTTTCCAATGAATTCCCCGTGTATCCTAGAGTGTCAGTTGATGTCTCTAAAATTCTCTTGTGAAATAAAGGGCCTGGCTTTCTGCCTCATTTGTGTGTGTGGCATAATACACACAAAAAGGGTGAAATGGCAGATTTTGTTATGTGCACAGTGACATTAAGTACATTCATATTGTTTGTTTTGTGTGTGGGGGGGTAATTAGTTTTACTTATTTATTTTTAGAGACAGTACTGGAGATTGAACCCAGGACCCTGTGCATGCTGGGCAGGCTCTCTACCACTTGAGCTATACCTTATCCCTACGCACATTAACACTGTAATTTGGCTTGTTTTTTTTAAAGCAGAAAGAGCAGGCCTGGAGGGAGACTGATGGAGAAGGGATGTTCTAAACCAGCTCCTTTCCCTCTTGGGTTGCTTTGTAAGCTGGACAGGATAAGGAGAAATGAGTACTGATGAGTACTGGGAGTCTAACCAAATTAGGTGTCCATCTGTGTCACTGTTTAGCCATCTTCACCTTCAACCTTCAGTTCTGTCATCTTCAAAATGGTGTTAATAGTGAGGAGGATTTAAAGAGACAGTGCTTGTAAAACACTTGGCATGAGGGAAGCAGTTAAAGGTATTTACCCTTATAATTTATAATAATGTAGGGTGGGAACACAGTGTCATGCCCACCCTGCTTTTCTACAGAGCCCCTAATGCTAACTCAACACCATTTGAGGGGAAAGGAACCCAAGGTCACAAGCCTCACCACTGCCTCCTTTAAAATTGGAAATGGGTCAAGATTTCACTGGGACCCATGTGGTCAAGTCTGCATTCAATGCATGGATGGGTTTTGGGGTGTCCATAAACCCCTTCCTTCTAACCACCCCCAAATCACATTTATTGTGTAAGTAGAATATGAAGTTTTTTCTGGGGAGAGCATTCTTAGCTTTTATCAGGCATCAGTGACCCTCAAAGATTAGATCCCCTCCCCTTATTCTAAGATGAACCAGGGCCGGATCTAAGAGTACTTGTCAGCACTGTGTCCCAGGGAGCCCTTGGCTGCAGAAGCGGTTGTAGGGTCACAGACTCTTCCAGCAGAAGGTAGCAACCTCCTCCCTGCCCCTCCATACACACTGCTCCTGCATACACACTGCCAAGCTGGTAACAGATGACCTAATTCCTCTGTCCAGGTCCTCACTGCCTAGACATCTTCATTTCTGACTTGGATCTGGGTAATAATGAGGCAGTTGATGATGGCTAACATTTATTGAACTTTAGTGGCTGTGCTGGGCAAAGCACTTTACACTCATTATTTCAGTAGATTACAGTAGCCCTGTGAGGTGGATATTGGGGCCATCTCCCTCCTACCAACAGGGAAACTAAGGCCCAGAAAAGGCTTGCTGCTGTGTGAAACAGCAAATGGCAAAATTTGATCCATCACAGGAGACACCAGGCCCCTGCTCTTAACCACTAAGCTGGAATGCTTTCCGTAAGAGGCCATTTGTGGATACTTGAGATAATATATTTTAACTCCTGGTGTAGGTAGGCAGGAGTTGCTACATGTCCCGCTTAATCCCCAGGTGGCCAGGTGGTGCTGCAATGGTTAGTGGGTAATGGCAGCCTCCTCCCCACACCTCTGGGGGAGTTGCTAGTCAGTGGCCGGTTATTGCCCCCTGCAGGTGCTAACGAGGAGGGAAGTGGAAATTAAGTGAAAAAGAGCATCTAGAGATGGGCAGGGGAAAGCTATCAGAAGGTTGAAGCTGGGAATTACCCCCTTCTAATTAATGTAGGCTGGACTTCCCAGAGAAATTCACTTACTATCTGACAGAAGATGTTCTATGAGACAATAAAAAAATAAACTGTTATGTGGTCTCCTCAGAGTGGACCTAATTCGGAGATTGTCATTACCTTCAGGAGTGATTCACGAAAGGGTTACTGTTTTTATTTCTAATGAATAACTTCTACCTTTTATTTAGCAATAGACCTTCAAACATCTTTATTTCCCTGGGCCCTTGTGATAATGCAGGGAAGGGTAGGGCATTACCACTTCCATTGCAAAGAAGAAACTGGGCTTGAAAAAAATTACAGATCATTTTTAGATGACCCCCAAATCCACAAATACGTGCCATTTTCAGACATCAGACCAAATTAGTCCAGGACTAAAATAAATGGAATGTACTTCTCCATTCCTTTTCATCCGGTTTGGATTTCATTGTGTTGGGTGTGTGATTGCTGTCTGCCCCAGGTGTGTGGATGACCTGGGGTGGGAGGGGTGAGCACACTGCAGGCAGGTAGGAGAGACCACTGGGTGGGAAAGTGCGAGCTCAGTGCATAGTCAAGCTTAGAATGTCTTTAGAAACCTATTTGTAAGTATGCCAAGAACTCTTCAGGTGTCTCCCTCAGTCTTTAGGAATTGGTTGGGAAAATGGTGGCCAGTCTTTGGCTTCTATTGCCTGTGCCTTCCTGGGAGCTCTTACTCTGTCCATGATCTGCGTATCAACCTCATTGTGCCTATGAAACAGGCCAACCTTTCCAATGAGAAGACAGAGCCTGGAAAGATGACTTGCTCCAGGGCCACAGGGTCAGTGGAAGCACAGGGTTTTGGTCAGAAAGCGCAGGGTTTGGCCTTAGACTGCATGTGTGAGAGGAGAGAGTTTCTACAACTCATCCAACTCATCCAATTTTTACCAATTGTTCTCTGGGTGTCTTGAGTAGGGGGCTGCAGAACAGTGATTTGGGGGTTGGGCTTTGCATTTGGGCTTATTTTTGGTTTTGCCTCCTTCCAAGAATGACACCTTGGGCAGGTAATTTAACCTTTGAGTCTCAATTTTCCTCATCTGTAATATGGGTTTGATAACTTTCCCAGCTCATAGGGTTGGAGTGAGGGTTAAGAGAGATGATTCATACTAGGTAAGGGCTCAGTCATGAGCTATGATTGTTGCTACACTGACTGAGGCTGCAGGAGGCCCTCACTCAGCTTGCTTTCTTCCTGGTTTTTTCCTACCCAGATGTGGATGTGGATGGGCAGAACTGGACCTTTGCTTTTGACTTCTCCTTCCTGGGCCAAGAAGAGGATCTGGCGTGGGCTGAGCTCCGGCTACAGCTGTCCAGCCCTGTGGCCCTTCCTCCTGATGTCCCACTGTCCATTGAGATTTTCCACCAGCCGAAGCTGGACAAGGATCAGGACCCACCCGACTGCCTGGAACGTCTTCGAATGGACCTATTCACTGTTACTCTGTCCCAGATTACCTTTTCCTCAGGCAGCATGGTCCTGGAAGTGACCAGGCCAATCTCCAAGTGGCTGAAGCACCAGCTTGGGGAGCAGATGTCCAGTTTGGCTGGGGAGTGTTGGCGGCGGCCTCCCACACCACCTGTCACCGACGTGGTCCTCATGCTCTACTCCAACCTCTCCCCAGAGCAGAGGCGGCTGGGGGGCTCCACCCTGCTGTGGGAAGCTCAGAGCTCCTGGCGGGTCCAGGAGGGACAGCTTTTCCAGGAGAGGGGCAGAAGGCACCGTCGATATCACTTGCAGGACAGAAGCCAACTGTGTCGGAAGGTCAAGTTCCAGGTGGACTTCAATCTGATTGGATGGGGCTCCTGGATCATCTACCCTAAGCAGTACAATGCTTATCGCTGCGAGGGCGAGTGTCCTAACCCCGTAGGGGAGGAGTTCCATCCGACCAACCACGCATACATCCAGGTGTGATGCCAAGGCCTGGGGAGGCGGTAGGCTGTAGGGGAGAAGTGGCCTTGCCACCAGATCAGGGGGACAGGACTCCAGTTTTGCTGTTAAGTTACTAGGTTCACATGCACGGTTATTCAAGCACCTACAATGTGCCAAGTCCTTGCTAGGCTTTAAGGACGTAGAGCTGACCAGTGATAACATCCTCAAAGAGTCTAGGTGGAGTCATGCCCTGTCAGGTAGCCTTGAGGGACTTTTTCTTCCTTTCATAAAATTATGGGTGGAGCACGTAGACTAGAGGGTCTCAGCTCCTCCCCAGTGCTGATATTCTAGGAAAGGAAGTTCAGAATCTGGAGTTTGGGGACAGAAAGGCCTAGGTTTGATTCTTACTCATTAGCTGTGTGATACTGATCAAGTTGCTTACTGTCTCTGAGCTTCAGTTTTCCCACCTGTAAAATGGAGATGGCAATGTCCTGTTTTATAGGGCTGATGTAGGGTTGTATGAGTTTGATATGCAAACTGCATATGTCATAGTTAGCAGATAACAGGCATGATGTTGTGTTGTTATTACTAGAAGTCTAGAATTCATTGATGCAATGGGGGCCATGTTTATGAGGCAAAGTAGAGATACTACTGTTCCAGCCACTGTACTTTTGCTGCTTAAAAACAGGAGTTGGACCCCCTGTTTTGCAGAAGTAGTTAAAGCCAGAGGCTACCACTAGGTGCCACTAATCAGCCTATGGTCTAGAAAGGTGGTGGAGGGGGATGAATGGTAGAATGAGATGAAGAAAGCCAAGAATAGCGCCTAATATGGTGGTCTTGCCCTGCTCTCAAAGGTCATATGGGACCAAAGTGTTTTTATTTTACTCCATGAAGCCTAGAGAATCTCTTGGACCTGTAGTACATCCTCCATGCCAAGCCTCAGGCGGGATTCAGAGGCTCTAGAGAACATTTGAGCTGAGCACATGTGAGGGAGGCAGTGGGGGGAACCAGCGCCCTAGAGGACCCCCTCCTGGGCACAGGCCCTCCTGAGCCTCCCCCAGGCCCCACTTCGCTGCTGCAGCCTACCTGTAGTATAACCACAGGGAACTACAGAGACCCAATGGTCCCAGTCACCAGAACTGACACTGATCTGAAAAGCCACCACTGGACCACAGGGACAGGCCTAGTACCAGAATGCCAAGGGCTTGTTACCTTTTCTCCCGTTGACTCTGTTTGCCTTTCTCTGGGCAACAAAGCAAATCCCACAAGAATTTTCACATGACTCTCTTCTGCTTCGTATTTCTGGAACTAAACCAGGAGTTTCTTGGAATGTTTTTAAAGCTGGTATTCACTCTAGACTAGAACAATATGAGAACAGATAAATTAGCTACTGCTCTACTCATATACAGCTTTTAGAATCTTCTGTTTAAAGACTGTTTAAAAAAAAAGTTATTTTAGATGTGAGAGTTGATGATGTATTGGCATTCTGACTCCTCTACGAAAAGAATTTTCTTCTACTTTTGCACCCAGAAACTAATTTTAACTCTCTGTAACTTTCTCCCCCTTTACCCAGAAATGACACTGTTCTGACCTGACTACTGGGATGTGAATTGACTCTCATCTCCTCCCTTTCACAGAGTCTGCTGAAACGGTACCAACCCTACAGGGTACCTTCCACCTGCTGTGCCCCAGTGAAGACCAGGCCCTTGAGTATGCTGTACATGGACAATGGTAGAGTCCTTCTAGACCATCATAAAGACATGATCGTGGAAGAATGTGGGTGCCTGTGAGGAGCTCCTGCAGGTGTGCTGGATTTGCCCATACCCTGGAAGGCTGGGAAGCTCCTGGAAGACATGATAGCCATCTAATGCTATGAGGAGAAACAAAGAGGGGGAAAAGTTGCTCTGTCCATCAGATCTAAGGAGGAAGGGCTGCTGCCGTGAGCATAAAGGCTCTGTGGAGTCTGGCTGAGCACAGAGGAGAGGGAGGAGAAAAACTGTGAAGCAGGCTTGTTGGGTATTCTCTTTGCTGAACAGACAGTGGTGTGTGAAAGCACCAGTCAGTGCAAGAGTCCATTAGCTGACTGTTTTCAACATGTGAAGCCCTGGAAATTGTATGCAGGAGTTGGAGCATATGTGCATTTATTGGTGAGGTGGGACAAGGTTGTCCGTAACTTCTGTGTATTGTCAGAAGTGGCCTTTAACATAAACCACCCCTCCGCCCCCACCAAGATTAAGTATCACTAGGTGAAATTAAAAACAGTTGGCTCTGGTTGCCTCAGGCTGAGTAGGGGAGCTCCTGCAACTTCTGGCTGGCCTGTAGCAATCTTGTCCAGAGGCTCTCTGGAGTGGATCTCTGCTAATGAGTTGTACAAACAATACAGCCATTGTATAGTCCTCCTAGGCCAGCTGGTGCCTTTGAAGGGCAAGGCAGGAACTCATCCAAGAGAACTCGCCACAATGGACTACAGAACCTGGAGCCCAAGGGCATCTCCAAGTCAGTCTGCTTTGGCAGACACCATCCGAGTCTATTAAAGTTGGTGACAGTTCACCTCAATCTGTCAATGCGTGCTATTAATGAGGCCCCTGAGCTTCCTATCCATAGGGGTGAAGGCCCTGCCCCGGGTTGTAGGAGAATCGGGCTATAGTCTCAGCTCAGCCACTGAGCTGTGTGACCTCAGATGAGTAATTCACTGCTCAGCCTTGTCTTGTGAAATGAAAGCAGGTGGATCCTAATGCATTTCTGTTAAATGCTCTTTGATAGGCTCAGAAGAGCCATGAGCTTTCAGCCACAGACTGTCTTCTGGGCTTATCCCCATCTCCAAGTCTCATGAAGCCTGCTCAGCTGAGGCCCTGCCATATCCCCTTTATCTAACCTTTATCAGCTCTTTTGTTGCTCAGGGTTAATTTCAGGTTCCACATAATAGCACAGCAAAAGGAACCCAGGCTTTCTTGTAGGAAGTTCTACCACCAAAACACCTGAGCACAAATCTCCGCCTTCTGGATGAAAAAGCCCCAAAGGCATCGGTTTTGCTTTTCTCTTACCAGCTGGCCTCACTGAGCACTGCCAAAACAGGGGCTGTATATTTTTGGTTTGGCAGGGCGAGGGGGCCATTTTATTGGGAATGTCAGTCCACAGTGAACCTACCCTGCTTTCCTAGGAAGCCCGTCAACTAATGTTCTAACCTTAGGAAAATGATTCCAGTCGTGTGGGAACACTTGTTGAGTTTAGCGGTGACTCAGACTTGACTTGGTTGAGTCAAGGTAGTAATCCTGGCCCAGGCAGGGGTTGGCTAGGCTACAGCCAGGCCTGGGCTTGAAAAACCTATGTCCTGATCTAGTGCTCATTCCCTGAAGTGGAAATAACCTGCCCTCACCACAATTCAGAATCACAATAGGATCCTGCTTTTGACTCTGCTTAGAGAACAGTTGAGTTGGGGAGGCCTTGTGAGATCAGCTTTTGTCCCATCCTTTCCTAAATGAGACCCCAGTGAGGCCTACTGGCCTGACCCCACAGCTAGGAGTGGCAGGGCCAAGAGCCAAGCTCTGGACTACAGAGCCCTAGGGGCGCCATCCTTAATAGCCTCTGGGGGTTTTTACTCCCTTAGCTCTGGGTCATTTGAATCCCAATTCCACTACCAAACTGAAGTTCTTGGGAGTAAAAATCCCATCCCAGGGCTTTACAGCATCCTCTTTACTAACTGGGTGCCCAACTTGTCCCTCTGTGGCTGGGGCCAGGAAAGCGAAAGGTCAAGCTATTTGTGGCTACAGCTTGTGGGAGTGTTTACAGTTAGCAGCTCTAGTGACTCAGAGAACAAACCCCACTGACGACAGGACGTTGCCTCTTATCAAGCAGAAGACACAGGCACAATGGAGTGAAAGGACATTTTGCTGACTCCCGCTGAAAGCTCAGTGTGTGATGTGTCAGCAGCAGGGGCATTCGGCTGTCTGGCCGGAAGTATTTGGGGCTGAGCCTAGCAACACAGCTCTGTGCTCTGGACCCTGCAAGCTGGTGCAGGCTTTGTTACAAAGTCCAAGGTATCAGTGCTTTTGAAAACTGAGTCCGACCCTAACCTAGGGGCCAGGAAGGGGCTCTCAGAGAACAGTCAGAGGTACTTTAACTTGCTCTTAAGGCAAAGGTCTCCTTCCACTGTTCCTATAGCAGTCCAAAGTCAGTAGCCGAGTAGGGGAAATTAGATGCATTACTCTCCTTGGCTGGGGAAGTGGGTGGGCCTGGCATAGGGAGGAGCGGAGGAAAGATGAAAGCCGAAATACACAAGAGGTGGGAAGTGGTGGTGACCCACATAGCAGCACCAGTCAGGGGTTAATCTCCATCTTATATAGTATCGTCTTTGATTAGCAGTAAAAGCCTTATCCCTCTATTCTAAATAGTCTTTGAAGTTGATATCCTATTTGCCTTTGGGGCAGAGTAAAGGATGTATGAAAGTTCTTTCAAAATTGTTTGGCCCTGTCTTCCCTTGAAGAGATTCTTAAGTCCTTCTAGAGGTCACACAAGCCTGTTCCACTCTCAAACTTGCACACTCTCGGGAGAAGCAGACCCAGTTAACTGACCTCTGCTTGTCACACCAACTGAGCTGTTACTGAGCTCTTCACATCCCTGCCACTAGGTTGTCCTTTCCACGATCTTATCTGAGCGTCAAAACCACCTAAGATGTACTTACCTTAACCCTCTTTTAGAGAAGGAAACTGAAGGTTAGACAGATTATCGAGAATCCTGTTGGAGAGGACGTGGCTGCTACTAAGTGGCACAGTGGGAATTCAAGTCTGTCTTACCCCAAAGCCTGTGCCCTAACCGTCTATACTGTTTTTTGTTCTGTGGATCTGTTTATAACATCTAAAACATGAAAGGACAGGATTCTTGCTCTCAATACTAATACGGGAGCCTCACTGGATTAATAATAGCAAGGAATCTGATGCTCATGCAGCACAGTATGCTTTAAGATGTCAGATATGATGGATTTCAAACACGTGCTCCTGAGAGGCAGAGGCAGCCCTCTTGAGGAAAGCTGTTGTTTGGGCTTCCCCAGGCTGGCACCTAGAGGAGGACCTTGGGTGCACCCAGCCCCAGTAGGAACATGTTCACCTCCAAACTCCTGAGGGAAGGGAAATATCACCTCCTTGCAGAGATAGAGCCAGGGGGACAGAGTGCTCTGAGTCCTGAGAAGTGACACATGAAGCTGCCAACTGCCTCTGCCCCTCTCCCTTACCAGCCAAGATGCCCAAAATGTGTCAACAGGACTTCACCTGAAATTAAAAAAAAAAATTAAAACACCAAGGTGATACTCAAGATCTTTATTGATTTAACTGTAACAGCAACCGTTGGTGAGAATTTAATTTTTTCCCCTAATTTCCAAACACTTGCTGGTTTGGAAACACAGAA